ACTCCCTCCCAAAACGTACAGGGTTGCTGACTTGGAGGATGACAATGGCTGGCAATAATACATATACTTAATATTGAAAGGAAAGAAAAAAAAAATCCTTTTTTTTTTTGGTTGCTTTCCATTTTGTTTCTTTCACTCACTCTCCCCAGCTGATACTGGCTTTGTGTCTCAATCTTTTCAGTGTATTTTCTTTCAATGAAAAAAAAAAAAAAAGAGTATTATTTTTTTCTCTTGTAGACACAGAAGACATCTCCAACAATTTCCAGTGGAGACAGAGAGGGGGAAGATCAGCAGGTGTGACTAGCACTGAACTCAGGAGTTTCCATTAAAATTTCCTGCTCACCCTGGTCCAAGATGCTGTTGTGTCCCACAGTTTACTCCTACTTCTTTAAATTCCTGAATATGGCAAACCCCAAAACCATCATCTGTGGCTCACATGGCTCCTTATTGTCCCATTCCCACCCTGACACTCACAGAGGTAGGACCTCATGGGCTCTGCAGTGATCCTGGAGGATTCAAAGCCTCTCGCACAAAAAAAATGAACTACAAATTCTCAAAATTGAACTGCAAGACAAATAGTGCCCAAGGCAGCCAGGTCCCAACCCAAAGATGAAGACAACAGGGAGCAAGGAATGTCAGTACCCTTTCAAAAACCCACAGACTGTTCAGAGCGCCCCTGCAAAGATATACTCCCAAAACTTTGTTGGGTGTGGGGAAAAAGCCGTAACAGTCAATATGCTTGAAAGGGCAGGCTGGGGAAGAAAACAGCAGGAACAGCAGAAGCCTTCCAGGAGACACCACTTCTTTAAAAGGTCGTTTCCAACACAAACCATTCCGTGGTGACTGATTTTTGGTAAAGGTTTCTAAAAGCAAGAACCACATAGAAAAAGAAGTGAGAAGCAGAAGTCGAAGAATTTGTACCCATTCAAACAGCACTCACATTCTCACTCTTAGAAGTCCTCTTTGATTTACACATCCAACTTCCTAGCAAGATTCCAGAGTTTGTTCATTTCTATTCTTCACTCAACCCTCCTTAGCTGTTTTCCCTCTTCCTCTCCCCCACTGACAACCATTTCCATTTCTCTCCTTATCCCCTACTGTGCGATTTTCCTGTCAAAAACTTTGCCATTTAACAACACTGCCAAGCAAACAATTTCTTTAAAAGTAGTTTAAGACAATCCAGGATAATAAAACTACAATATTTAGCAATAGGTTTATGTGAGTCAGGTTAGAACATATACTGATTTTTACATTCAAGTAAACCAATAAACCCAGCTTAAGTCAACTTATAAATTTCTAGTTGTCACCAAACTCTATTTTCATCCTTCTTCATCCCTTCCCACATTCACCTTTTATTGTGTATCTGATAGCCCACTCACTCCCCAGCCTGCACTTCAGCCGCATGAGATCTCATACATGGTGTGACTGGAAGCCCTCTAGGCTCTGCTGAGGTCAACAGCAAAATCCCATCAGATGTCTACGCTATGAGCGTTTCAGTCAACTTCAGTATGCAACCGGGAGATGGGCAAGGAGAACCCACAGCATGGCAGCAAGTCCATGCCCCAGCCCTTACATAGGGCAACCAAATTCTCAATTATGGTAACTTCTAAACCAAGCAGAACCAGTTTTGCTGTAGCTTCTCCAAAAACAAGTCAACTTCATGAATGTACTACAAAGTAATTAGAATTTAGGGAAGAGACAGAGGGTTGGTTCTTTTTCAGGTAAAAGGTACAACTGGGAATTTTTCTTAGTTTAATATAAACTGAGCCTGTACTCATGACAAAAGGTATTTATATACACCTGTATATGCACAGATATATGTATATCTACACATTTATAATTTTACTTTATACATAAGATGCCTAAGCACATACATGTAAATCAAATTCTAAGCACCTAAATGTTGTTCCAAGCTGTGTGCAAATTCACCTTTTCTTTTTTACCCTAAAGCTCCTCTAAGAATCTACACTCTACCACTCCTAACAGTATGAATCATGGCCAAAGATGCTTGCTTGTCCCCTGTGGAGGACTCAGGATCTGCTGTAGCTGCCCATCCAAGCATCAGAGAGGAGATTGAGATGGTCTGAAGCCAGAGGGCCTGGCTCCTGCTCCAGCTGCCACAAGTAGCACTGTGCAAATGATGCCTTAGAAGGAAAAGGCATTTCAGGGGTCAGAAAAAGAAGTATCAGCTGTAATTTCAGGGTGGAGAACTTCCACTCTGTCAGCTTTTAAACTACTTTATATTCCCTCCAGATGGTATAACTGAAGCAGAGACTGAAGCAGATGTGGCTTCAGATTAGCAAATCATAATCACTACCCAATGGCTCCACGCCCTCCTACATTGAGATACAGTCAAATACTTTGGTCTCACTTGACAAAACAGATTTGATCATATGGGCAGTAACATTGCATGTATGTGCATCACATTTTTGAGCAAGGCAAGGACTGCTATGCTTCCTATGCTCAAAAGCACTGAAGTCAGGATAACTGTGAATACTAGCATTGTTGCTACTACTCTCAATTCGCTTATGCAGCTCCTGTATTCCCTGGATGGGAGACTGTGACAAACATGATTAAATGGTTGTAGTACTGGCATTTGACATAACAATGGCTGGAAAAATGGATAACTAGATGATTATTTTAATGAGAGATTATTAAATCTGCCAGCTTCTTATTTCACAGCTGTATCTCTGAGTTTACATCATCTCATTTCCCTCTAACATGGACCATCCCTATTTACACACATATATCCCCTCCCTTTCCACACACACAGAGCAACTCTTCATTTTGTGGCCACCGAAGTTTGCATATGGGCTGACGAAATGCCACCAGCTGGGCTGTTCTTTCTGAGCTCAGCACTGGACCACAGGCAAGTGATGCCAGCCTGACGTGCTCTGCCTGGCACAGCACCTCTCACTAGCAGAGCTTAGTTACTTGTCTTTCTCCCCCTGCTGTGTTTTCCATGAGTCCATGTCTGCACATTGTTCTTGGAGCCTTCCCCAAACTTGAAAATACCCCCTTTTCCATTTGAGTTTCAGTCTCTAAATGCACCGTCAGGTGCAGCTGGCTATGTTCTCCTACTAGCCCCACAACTCACCACTGTGGCATCTAAAATTTCTACATGCTTTGTTTCATCTTCAGTCACATATGTTGACTTTATCAGAAATTATTTTGAAGAGTGTTGTTTCTACAACAGTTAATATACTACTGAAAAATCCTAGGGTGTCATGATACTGCCTATCTATACTAGAGATGGTTTAAAAGATGTTCCTTCTCTGACACAGATATAACCGATCTTTTGCCAAGCTAGGCTGCAATGTCAATGACCTTCACCTCTTTTAAAGAAACTGCCTTGTGTGTATTTGGCATCACAGTATATATCAATAGCTTTGGGGAAGTCAAAATGATTAATTATTTCTTACCTATGCCCAATAGGACACGATCTTCATTTTCTTTAGAAGCAATCGCAAAGTCTCAGAAAGGCTAAAAACAAAGAACTTGAGCTATATCTTTGAAGACAAACAGTTGCATTTGTGCTTAGTTGCAAGCTGGGCTACAGGTTTTCAGAATTCAGTTCAAACACTACCAAGCAGCAGTCTCTTCATTTTAGCCATTTTAATAAATGGAACAGATAGACCATGCCAATTTCTGACTCTAAGATATGATATGAACCCTATGGACTCAAACTCTAAACACAATCAAAGAAGAGACCAAACCATATCTCAATTTCCATGCAAACTCCAGTTTTCAGCCTGCTCTTCTCTTACAAAGTTTAACCGTGCCCTGACTAGTCAATACACAGTGATTTTGAGGAAAGAGCAATATATTTCTAAGGTGCCACCTTCTCTAGTGCCTGAGCTGTTCACACCTGTAGAAATATCATAGGTCAGTTCATTCATTATAGAGTCAACTACAGCCCTTCTGCTAGATCAAAACAAGAGACAGTCAATATGGTACCAGAACCTTTGCCCCCATGCAAAACTCATGAGCTGTGACACTCAGCCTCAACATATGTTTTCAACATTGACTCCAGAACGCATGTATACTGCAGAGATACAATTCTGAGATGACAGATTACAATAGAAAAACATGAATCCCAAACAAATGGTCAATCTTCTGCACAGCTAGCACTCAAATTAAAAAAAAAAAAAAACAAAAAAAACAACAAAAACCAACAAAAAACCTAGAGTTAATCACTTTTATTATAATGGACTAACAAAAGTGGAAGTCTACAACATTCCACTAAATTCCAATGTTATTTTAAAAAGTCAAGTCATTATCTATTAAAAAGATACCACCTTTACCAAATTTGCCGGATTTTACCAGATTTTGTTTCTCTCAACCTACATCATTTTATTAGCTTCATACCCAGTTGAGCTAATAATCAAGATCCTGCTATAAAAGGGGATAAAAAACCACCAAGACAAAGATTTTCTGGTTTTGCAAGCAGATACATATAAATAAAATGCAGAATATAAGACTATAGATCAAATACAACTAACTAGCCATAACAGGACTTCTCACAAATATGGTCCCCCCGCAAAAGCTGTTACATACCTCCACACAGAAGACAATTAAAGTGCCATTTTTTACATCAAGTATTTTTCCCAGTTAAGGACTCATTTACCCATAAAGTCTCTCTCAGAGATTATGTCTTCAGATGTAATGAATCATGTCATCTCAAGGATGAAGCTTTTGCAAGACAGATTGTGCTCCCTCCTGACTGGCAGCTGAGCTGCAAGCTCCCTGAAGGCAAAGGTTCACCATAAACACAAGAGCTTTCTGGTCCAAAAGCCAGCTTGCTTCTCCAACCCAGCTTTCTGGCCCACAACCACATACAGGTTCATTCAAACAATAATAATCTACACACATAACTATTCCTACCGTATAGGAATGGGCAGGAAAAGTCTGACAGGCATTAGTAACCTTATTTATTTGTTAGCTCTGGGAGGTGCTCAGCCAGACTGGAAGAGGTTGCTGCTTCTCAACCTAAATGGATCTTAGCCATTTGTATAAGGAGAAATATGTACCTTTGCATTATCTTGGGACAATTCATCAGATGCCAACTTCAGAGGACCTGTGAAAGTAAAAATTCCTGCCTTTCATAACAAGCAAATTCGGTTTGTGTCTGCTTTGGTTCCTGCAGCTGGTCTCTCTGCTTTTTCGAATAGGAGGGGAACATAAGGAGCAGGCAAACAGGCAGGCGAGCCAGAACAATGGACATGGGAGCCCATGCATCCCTCCACAGTGGCATTCCCGTGGGCAGCATGCGAGCTGGATGCACAACAAGAGCTATGTTATTGTCACAGTTACATCCAGGCTAGGCAAGCACGGCGATTTGTCAGCCAGCTGCTGATTAACCCCCACATGCTCAGAAAATTAACAGTTCTAGCACCATGCCTCACACCAACTCTGCAGAGCAGCTGTGCTCTGCTTTTCCTCTGCAGGGGTTTCATGTGTTTTCTGAACTTATGAGATTGCATTTTCACCCCAAAAACTAAAACATAACTTAATTTCTGTCACTCTTTTTCTTCCCAGGACTCTGGGGAAGCTCACAGAAAATGCAAAACAAGGACCACACTTGGCAAGTTTTGCCCAAACACAGCCTCATGGACTATTGTGAAAGAGCAGAGGAGTAATCTGGCTACAGGAATGCAAGTGAACACCAGCATCACTCAGGCTTCCAGGAACATTATTATTTAATAATTATATTTCTAATAATAATCATATAGCCAGAGTTATGCTGGTAAATGTCTTTCAATTTATATATTGCATCTTTCAACTCAAGGTTTGCATCTGTTCTCAGATACACAAATCCCTCTCCATTTTCCAGCTCCAGCAAATAGTTAAACTAAGTATGAGTCAGCAGCCAGCAGAGGGTGTATTGGGGGGAACTGCCTTGATGAATGTGGGGTTCTGGGACCTCTGTCATTTCTTGGCATTGCACAAAGTCTATACTCGAGGCTTTTTAAAAAGACCTGTATCAATATATCTTTGGAAAAACAATTCAAAGACAACTGCCTATTATCTAAATCGCACAATCTTCAGTGACAACAATCCTCCCTAACCTTCAGGTCTCCCAGATGAAGTTCTGGGACACAGTTATGGGCCCACTGCAATCAGTGTGTCTGTTGTCCCTGACCTCAGCAGTGCCCCTGGACAGTGGCAAGAGTCAGGACTGGGTCCATGCTGATCAGTATCTCAGTCATTAATTTTTAATTAATCCACCATCTTTAATTAACCTTCTGCAGCAGTCACATATATATCTCCCCTTGCATTCTAATGGAGTGCAATCAAAGAGCACAGAATCACTGATGTTGTCAAACAAAGCATCCTAGGCATCATCTTTCAACTAGATGGAACAGACTATTTCTTCTGTAACTGCAGAAGCTTACTTTAAAAGCTTCAGTAGGAAGATGTTTTTTACAGTATTGTCATGCCATTGGCATTATTATTATTCAGTTTCACAGTTCTCAGAAATAAAAAGCTGTTTGCTCTATACCTAATATTTTGTAGAAGCAAATGGCTTGTCCTCCAGATTACAGTATTCAGTCAACTCATAGGCATGGAATTTCATGGTCAGAAAACAGAAAAAACCTACAAACTACTGAATTAGACAAAATACCATATATTTGACCTTTTGTTCTGCATCCTCACTGAATAATGTATCACTCCATGTATTTGAGTTTAATTAAGCTGTGGTGGGAGATCCACTGCTAAACTAGTAGCATCACCTTACACTGACCCACTGCTTTCCTATGATTACATTTCACAAGCAGCAACACACTGCTATAGCAACTTCTGCCTGATAATAGCTCAGGGTTTCCGAAAGCATTGTGTTTTAAAGGTCTGTTGATCTTGACTTCAGACCCACACAGAAGTGAGTAGTTACTACTTCTTGGAATGGCAGCAGTTTTAAAATCTATGGGGAATCCTTTCATGACATGAAAGTACAAAATTAATGTCCTGAACTTAGCAGCCACTTTATGAAGGAAATCGCTGAATACAACTGAGAATGTAGTAAAAAGTACTGTCAATCATTTCATATAATTTCTTCTACTAGCAGCAACAGTTTTAACTCAATCTTGAAAAAAGTTCTTTTGGTCTCCTGAATGCTGGCAAATGGAGAGTGTAAAACAGGTTACTGGTCAGCAGTGATGATCATTCCTGATTTTTCAGAATCTGGATTTGGTGGTGGTTAGTGAAAGAGGCAAATATATAGAAATATGGTAATCAATGACAATATCAAAACCCAAGATTAAAAAAAACTTTGCTGCTCATCAGCATACAAACAATAGTTACAGGCTCCTCATGTCTACAAGTAGATAACACTAAGTGTAAAACATGTAAGTGTGATTACTACAGTTTGTATAGGAACTGAACTTATATTTAAAAAAAAACCAAAACAGACACAAAATAACTCTAATCTATTAAGGCACAAAAGTGGATAGCTTCCATTGAAAACACAAATAGGTAAGTGTGCCTCTGTCAATATCTATGCTAAATATCTTTGGTGTAAAGTGAGGATGAGAAGCTTTACAACCGGAATCCAAAATGAGACTAGACATCGTAAACTGGTGATTCTCTCTGGACAATCAATATCCACCAATGTTCATTATCTGCTTCTGCCAAGTCAGCCTGAATTAAAACTGCTTATAGTGCAAAATATCAAAATAATCATCACCTAGAAGTTGTATTGCCCAAGATACTGCCACATACAGTGCTACCAATACAGGCCATTGACTTCCTATCCCCCAAGAGCAGCATAAAGATCACATTGCTCGCAGTATGGCACTCAGATGAATACCCAGAGTCAATGCATTTGCACACTGCATCACCAAAGTAATTAACAATCCTTGTATAGTAAATTGCTGCATACATTTACAGTAACAGATGAATAGCTTGCAATTGCTAACAACTCCTTATCATTTCTCTGCACATTTGCTTTCTAATGGCATAACACTCATTGCCTGAACACTGCTGAAGAGGTTGGATATAAAATTCCTTTTCCAACACTAACAACGGCAGCCTACATGTTTAAACACCAAGCTATACAACAGTGGCGTCCCCATTTTATCCATTTACTTAAAGTTAATAACTTATGCCACCTGGAACTGTAATCCCATTCCTTTCCCTGAGTCTGGTCCTGATCCTGTTGGCAGATTCTGCAGGTGCTCACATTTCTGCTGCCCTCAGCAGAGCTGCCTCCAGCACAGACAGAGCAAGACCAAGGCCCTCACAGAGCTCACAGTTTTCACCTTGTGGCTTCATCCAAACATACAGAGCCAGCCACATAAGAAAATGACCAACTGATGAAAACTTTTAAATAATTCCTAGCAATCATAAACAAACACCCAAAGCATCATACTTCTGATGTGGAAGAATTACTTTTTTTGTGACCTTCTTTTCAGCACTGAGATGCCTGCTCCGAGGTACACAGAGATGTATTTCGGCAATGAAAGAGCATTCTCATCAGCAAGCACAGTCCTGCAATCCTTAGAGGTAAACCTCTCACCAAAATATTGAATGTCTAACTGAAACACATGGGAATTTTGCCACATTAAGAAGTCTGGGCTGGATCCCAAAACTATTCATACAAAACGTTACTCTGCTTCTATCTTTATTAACTCATTTGGCTTTACTGGAATTTGAAGGTTGGAGTGTTCATTTAGTTAAAGACTGCCCTCTCCTGGAATCTTCTAACATTTTTCTGACTCTTACAATAAAATTAGTTAAGGCTTTTCCAGTCACTATAAATGCCATAACATTTTATTAACAATTTCAGTCTGACACTGGAAAACTGATGCTCTGTAGGCAGCATCATGATTTACACCACTCTCGTAGTGTATGAGTTGCTTATTCCACCTTTTTCCACTTACAGGTCTCTAATGTCACATGAAACATGTGATCTTCCTGAATAAATAAATAACGTAGGAATCTGTGCCAACTTTCCAGAGCTTTTAAAGACTGCAACATTATGGAATAAAAAACCTGTACCTTTTACAGAGCTTGTTGTATTGCAGGTTATTTTTGGACCTTCCATTGTCTCAACTTGGTTTGAATTAATACTCTACACAAAAAAAAAATAAAATTTCAGAATGACAGTAACTGTATTTGATGACCATGACATTTATCTTAAAACTCAAAAACAGTATCAAAGACTAGCAAACAAATATGTTATAAGCAATACTAAAATGACTGATCAAGATTACACAGAGTATTTTATCAGTTACCCTCCAGAGGAATCTGATAGCAAATTCCTTAAAAGGGAAACCGATAAAATATTTTTGGCTACAGAGAGAATTATGTTCTGCTTACAGTACATAAGGGATGGAATGGATCAAATTTACCATTTGTACTGCATTGTTTATAATGTCCTTTTCTGTGATAAAAGCAGCACAGCAGCTTTGCACAACAGCTCTGCTCAGAAGTCTAGTTAACCTTGAAAGCATCCCTATAAACCAAGCAATTTTGACGGATAGGCAATACAAAGAGCCTAAACTAAAACTAACACTGGCTACATGGTAAACCCAGCCTGGAAGACAGGAGCTATACTCTCCCTGTAGCCATGGCTCCTGGCCGGCCTGACCCCTTGCTCAGATGCAAACAGGGACTGTATCACTCCTGCTCAAGAGGAAGAGGGGGCTAAGATCCAGTCCCTTATTTTAGAAATTACCTTCAAAGATTGTAAGTAAAGGGGGTGGAGGAGAAAATTTCTCCTTTTGCATAGTTCTATCTACAACTCTGCTTGCTTCTAGGCTTTTCCTCTAGCTAGGTTGCCTGTGTATTTGCCATTTACCAGAGAAGCAAACAGAGAAAAGGCATTGTAACATGTATACAAAAGAAAAACCCAGGGACAACTCTGGGCTAAATATTACAGCCAAACTTATTTGAAAACCACACCACTGTCAAGCCAGCTATATCCCACTCACCTCAGTGGGCTAGCTTCAGTTTCCTCTGCTCGTATGTTGGTGTGCAAGACGTTTTCCTATGCCACACCTACCACACAGAAATATGTCACCTACTCTGTGGGAAGCTACTAAATCTGTCTACCACTAGGCAACACAACTACATAAATTATCACAAAATTTTTCAATAAATTTGGATTATTATCCTGGTTTGGCCTTTTTTTTTTTTTTTTTTTTAAATTATCCTATTATCCTGACACCATTTCACATGTGTCCATTAGTCCCCAGATTTGTTTTCATCTTGTGGAGGAGCTCTCCCCTGAACAGGCTCTGCTGCCTTGGGAAGCTGAGACAAACAAATACCATCTCCACATGCTGCTTAGGTCTCTGCTGGAGGTGCATGATGAACCACACAGCCTCACTGGCAGTTGTTGCTACCAGCACAGCAATTTCTGCCTCATGGAGGTTGCAGAGAGTTCAAGCAATTCCACACTTTTCCTCATCATCTTCAGAAATCTCTTCTCAGTGTTGCCTAGCACACAACCTATGGGTTTACAGTTTTTGAACTGCAGAACCCCTGAAGGTTTCCTGTGAAGGCATGCCTCCTGTATGGGTAATTCCAGTTTACCAAAAGCATGTTTGTTTTAACTTTTCATTACTCTTTTAGAGTCCTTGTAAGGACTTGTAAGTCAAGGGACTAAAAGAACCCACAGACCAGGGACTGAAGAACATACTTGAGAAAGATTTGGACTTTCTTGCATGAATAAACACAAAAATAGTTTTTGCTGCTTTTAGGGACTTAGGGTCATACATTTCACACACACAAATCCAGTGCTGCATGCCACCATAACTGAAACAAGCTCCTTCTCTTTAGTCCTTGTCTTCTGGCCCAAGCCTAAAATAGCAATGTGGTCATTCATGCAGTCTTAAGATATATGAAACTACATGTACACTCTTAGTCTGCTGTAGATGAGATGAATACTCCGGTACAGCATAAATTCTACCTTTATTATTAAAAGACTAGGTATCATGAAAACTCTAATACCCACCTCATGCTGCAAATCCTTGTTTGCAACAGAAAGAAAATTAATTTTAACGTACCTTTCGAACATAATACATAGCCTAAACATGACAGTTTGATCATCCCCCCACATACACTTCAGGATGATATCTGGTGTATAGAAAATTACAAAGCCATGTGATTTTTCCCAATTATCCCAGCTAATTTCTGCTTTATTAGAAGTAGTGCAACACTGATGCTGGGGGGGCGGGGTGGGGTGGGGGGGTGTATAGGGTCCCCACAATGGAGGATCTAGGCTGCTGCAACTAGAAGAATGGGCAAAAGGAAAACCCACAAGTGAAAGGTAACAGGCTTTTTCCTGAAAATACCAAATGCAAAATTTTGCAGCCTTAAAGTCTTTGTCTCCAAGAGCTATGCAAACATCTAACATACCACACTTTCTTTTTCCATTTCAAAGACTGAAAGAACAAGGATTTGATGAGTGCCAGATAAAGCCAGTAATATAAATAACAATACATTCTTCATTACAGTCTTGGTTTTGCTATTCAATTTACTATTGTTTCCACGGAAAAGCCACACACAAACTGTAGGTATTCTGCAAACTAGAAACACAGAATAACTTCTTTGTATTGGAACAAATCAAAATCTTGGCAGTATAATTACACAAGATTACACATAAGGACTATACAACACATCACACCTTAAGTTTTTGTGTTAAACACATGTGGTTCATTTTAACTTAGAATGTCTAAGTTTAAAAAAATTGCAGAATGCAATAAAGATAACTTAAGGAAAATCAGCACACAAATAAGGAAACCTGAAGTTAAGCATGGAAAAGCAAAGATGAATTTTAAGACCAGAAAAAGAGAAAAGCCTGTTTTTAATGTGCTTTTAGTTCCCTAGTTCTACATAGTCATGCAGTCTCAATCTAAAACCACACTGTGCTTTCAAGTGTTCTCCTCCTCACTTTACTGAAATTGAGAGATGTCCTGAAGAAGATCACAGCAGTGCTCCAGACACATCACAGCAAAATAAGACCTACTACACCATAACTAAACTCTATAGCAAAAGTCTGTACTCTGTTTCTGCTGTAAATAGTAGACTGGTGTTGACTCTTAATAAAGCCTCCCAGGCATTACACTACTAGACAAATTAATAGAACTAAATTAAATATTTCAAAAGTACCAACATGAATACGACAATGCAATTAAATACACAGAGATTTCAGGAAAAGATATTCACTCTAGAGTCCACAATGATTCAAAAACAACTTGGGAAGTAAAGGAGGCTTCGATAAAGTTCTCAACATCTCTTGTCTTACAGCTTCACATGTACAATGTGCTACACCTACACAAAGCAGAAGCCCACAACAGTAATCTTACAATTATGCTGACCATTAGTGACACAGGCAGCTTAACCTAAAAGCCTACTCAAGAAAAATGAATCCAGCCTGAAGAGTCTATAGCTGAAAATTACTGAAGAAAATCTGTGACAATGTCCTGAGATAGATAGGTACCTACCTGGTAAAGAAGAGGTGTGTCCCAGAAGTATTTTCTGAAGAGCTTTACGTCTGACTCCAGCAGGTGCTGTGCAGTGTGGCTGAATGTCAGCATCAGAACTCCTGATGAATGAACAAACTGCACACAAGCACCCTCGCTGATCTCTACTCTTGATATGTCCAGTGGGTGACTGCCCTGGAAACTGGAACGACATGCTCTTTAACTAGATGCTCTGGGCACAGGTAGAATGAAAGCACTCAGTAAGCTTCCTGCTCACCTTCAGCACAGCCCATTGGGATCCCAACACGCCCACTACAAAAACTGGAACCAGAAAATCTGAGACATCCACCAAAAATACAGCTGGGCAAACACTTACCAATGACTCCATTCAGGCCTAAGAACATGCAGCTACATCTAATCATCAGCAGGGAAAAAACAGTGTCAGCACTAGATAGTTACTAGTAAAATAAGACAGAAAGAGCAAACCATAACAATATCTGTTTCTCATTACTGCTGTAAATCAGCAATGGTCACTTAGAGCTAGCAGGTGTGTTATAACACAACACTGAAAACCAAAAACTGTCTCAAGGGGATACAGCATTGTTTAGATGTTACAAACAAGTATCACTGTTTTAAGTATTCTTTTTTCAGACAGAAATACAGGTAAATCTCACAGAAACTATACACTGCATGGAGCCAGAACTGAAGGAGCCACATACTGAAATAATACTGTAACCCAATTAATGTACATTTCTCTTTGCAAGGGAAAGCCAACAGTGAGGAGGGGTGTCTGATGCTGAACATTTTGTATCCCAAGACACAGAAACACACACCCACCATGCATCTCCTCAGCTCTGTACAGAGGAAACTCCAGACAGCTGAAACATGCCAGAAAGAAATTTGTCCTTTAAGACATTTGTCAGTGTGGCAGCTCTCCAGCAAAATAGTCATGGCTGACTTTCCTGCTGACACTCACTTATTCATTCAAACCTGAGCTTTACAGAGGTCACAAAGTCTGTTGAGGTTTTGTGAAAGTCAGGTCCCATGGTTCTGTTTCTATGTAAATGTTTCTCTATATATATTTTAAGGGATGTATTTAATTGTTAGTAATGTGTCAGGATTCAGCTGTGATAGTGTTAGGAGGGGTACTTTGCAGTGCAGGTGGTCCTCTGTCATTTAATTGACTATTAATTGATTTGCAAATGTAATGATGGACACAAATCATAAACTTCCTTTAATTCTAAAGACGTTACAAGTTTACCACTTAAAATGGTAATAATGGAAAAAAAACAAAAACAACAAAAACAAACAAACAAACAAAACCAAACCAGAAAACAACATAAAATAGGCAACTCGTTTGAGAAAAACAACAGTACTCCTCTCATACCTAAACTGATAGGCATTTTTCAGAGGAAGCAGCAAATGGTTCTGCTCACCTTGCAAAGACATCAACAAGTTTGGAGTGCCTGTTTTGTAAAGCCAAATCTAATGGTGTTGCTCCATCCTCATTAGGTAATGCTAATGCTGATGACCCTCCAGGCTGGGCTTCTAAGAACTGGGAAAGCTTAACCAATCCCAATTTCATCACAAGGTGGAGTAGAGTTTCTTTATGTTTAAACTCTGAAGAAACACAACAAACAAACAAAATAATCAGTAACAAAACCCAGCATTTTATTTGCTAGGAAGCATCAAATGAAACTTGTTATCATCTGCAGAAATATCACAGCTTGGGTTCAGACCTAGAAAAGTACTTGGGCAGAATCTGACTTTCACTGAAATCAACAGTCAGGATACTTAATCATATCTGTGGAGCTATACTAGGATATCCAAATACTGTTTAATTTCAGCAGAGAAAACAGTTCCAATTAGACAATCTCAATATTTCTCTCTGTCTATTGTATAGCATTCTGCATAAGAGATGCTCCAGTACACTGCAGAAGATAGTTAAGAGGTAATTTTCCAGCTGCTTTGCATTGCCTTTGCAACACAAAACATCGGGCAGCATGTCAAGTATCTCAATTCTTAAAAAAAAAAAAAAAAAAAAAAAAAAAAAAAAAAAAAAGTGTGATTTTTCAAGACAGGCTGCTTATCAGCACAGTAAGAGAGCCTTAACAGCACAGTGAGCCATAAGCTAAGACACATGTAGGTAAAATATATAGGATAATTCTTGTGTCTCTCTTTTCAGAAAGGCGACCTCACCTGCCAATACTTCTCTCCACTTTTTAGCACATCATCAAGTTCAATGGGATTAAGTTTAAAATAAAAGAGGACACAAGGATGATTTAGTCACTAGATGCTGATTCTCCATGCAAGCCTTTCCCTAGCTTTCATTCAAGGAAGGGTTTATCTGTCTACATACATTCTCAAACACAAACCCTTTGCAATTTAATGCCAATAAATAAAATTAAGCTCAAGTGCCATTCGACCTGCTCCTTACACTGATGTTTTGGTACGAAATTAAATATAAGGGTACTTGCACAGGGTCAAGTATTTAAGGGCAGTTACTCTACAGCTCTCAGAACAACTGGCTGAAATCTATTAGGTTTCCAATCATTTATGAAATTCCACTGAAATTTATTGAGCTGATTCAACTGACTTTTTCCTTCCTATTACTCAACCAGTTCAGAACACATTATTGAAAATTATACGCTCCATTGGCAAAGGAAATGTGAGGCTCGTGAAGCATATGTAGAATGCGCACCCATTTATGTAAATAATATGGCTAAAATCAACAGCAAATTGCTGACAAATTTCCACTCTGCATCAATATTTACAAGATAAAATTGTGTGATGGAAAGCAATCCCCAGCAGAGAGAGCAGTTATGTAGCCAAAAAGCTAATGAACATGTTTTTCAGAAATACTTATGCATTTAGCAGAGGTATCATGTAGTTACACACAAATACGGTGGCTCATGGCCGACTCTTATTCAGTTTAAGTACTCCCTCTGAAAGTGTCAGGAATATTCATTTTATAGAAACATCAAAAAAACCCCTTTGAACAGTCCTCAAGAGGTCTTAGTCCACTTCTTGCCTTAAGGCAGAATCCACTCAACCTAAATCGCTCCTGACAGATGTTTGTCTTATCTGCTCTAAAAACCTTCCAACGACAAGGTTTTCATACTTTTACCCTCACAGTTACAAAGATTTGAAATGCTTAACCTAGCTCACCCTTTTTCAGCATAAACCTGCTGCTTCTTGTCCCATCTAAAATGGGCATGAAAAACACTCACTTGCAGCTTCCTTTTACATAATTCAAGGCTACTGTCAAGTCTAAACTGAGTACATTCTCTCTGGACACTTTAACAGGAGAGTGGCCTTTTGGAATGCCCTCGCAGAGCTACGGGCCAAAATTATTAGCCTCCTTTGAAAATGTTGGACTTGAATTGTTAAAATATTTTAAAAAACTTTATCTCCCCATCTCATAAAGCCAGAATGGCAAGGAACCTAGGGAACTTGCTCTACTGCTCCAAAGGGGGAAACAATGAAATCTTCACTGCTGATCAGTTTTTGCTCTGAATATTTGGTAGCAACCCATCCAGACTTTTTACCTTTCTGTTTCAAGTGGAATCAAAACTTTCAGATGGAGTCAAATCACAGAAAAACATGTCAAGCTTCCTTCAATAAATCTAATAAATTCCAAACATCAGAGTAAAAGGGAGCTTCAGCACACAGACTCTAGCACTGCAACAGCCAGCAAACCTCTATGTAGTATCTGAAACCTTTATTTCACTGCAGTTTTAACAGAAGCGGACACATTAACAAGATGCAGAGGGGATTCATTAAACCAGAATATCACTAAACATATACCCATTATATACTTAAGTATTTCTAGAACACACATATAAAACGTCATGTCATTTATTTTTTAAAAAATCACCTTCAAAATTCCATCTTACTTGTGGCTAGCTCACATGTGATCTGGTGTACTAGCCTGCCCATTCAACACTTATTTTCTCCCTGCGTTTTGGTCAATAAAGCTATTTCTCAGGATCCCCATTTCAGATTCTAGGCAAAAATGTGTCCAGCTGGACACAGGATCTGCTCCAGGATTCTAGGGACTTTTTCCTCAAAGGTCTGCAAAATATTTCTAATTTCAGAGTTTGGAGACAATGAACATTGTTGCATTTTAGTTACCAACATTAATCATTAATGGTATGAATTATAGTACTTGCATATCTCTTAAGTGAGATGGCATATATGTTTCAAAGTTTTCAAGTACATGCAACCTTTAAGTCCACTGATTCCAAACCAAGCATTTGCAGAACTGCTCTGCTAAGCAGCAATATGGAACCACAGCATGGTTTGGGTTAGAAGGGGCCTTTAAAGATCTCCTAGTCCAACCCCCCTGCCATGGGCAGGAACATCTTTCACTAGATTAGGTTGCCCAAAGCCCCATCCAAACTGACTTTTGAACACTTCCAATAAAGGGACATCCACAACTTCTCTGGGCAACCTGTTCCAATGTCTCACCACCCTCATCATAAAAAGTTTCTTCCTTATATCCAACCTAAATATCCCCTCTTTTGGTTTAAAATCACTGCCCCTTGTTCTGTTGCTACAGGCCCTGGTAAAAAGTCTTTGTCTTTCTTATAAGCCCCCTTTACATACTGAAAGGCTGCAATAAGGTCTCCCCAGAGCCTTCTCTTCTCCAGGCTCATAGGAGAGGTATTCCAGCCCTCTGATCATTTTCAAGGCCCTCCTCTAGACCCACTCCAACAGGTCCATGTCCTTCTTGTGTTGGGGACCTCAGAGCTGGATGCAGCACTCCAGGTGAGGTCTCACAAGAGCAAAACCCACACAGTGAGAGGATGGCTAAAGTCAGCCCATGGGGAATATGGAAGCATGAGGATCTGACTTCAACCCACAGCTTCAAAGTCCAGCCAAGCACTACTCATCAAATACCTTGGTCTGCCTGGATCTGAGACCTTCTTCTATGGAGGAACATTTAAATGATTAGGGCTCAGGCTTCCCAAAACCCATCCAGAGATAATGGAAATGATGGCCGATGTGCCACTTCAAAAATGGAAAACCTCGGTTCAAATTCCTCCTCAGTCAGACGGGATTTGAACCTACACACATCTTCAAACTTCCTCTGATCACTATTCTGGTGGGAGCATGCCCTGTCTCCTCTGTTGCAGAGTAACTGAAAATGGGTCACAGTGCAGAAGGAAATGCAAGGGATGCAGTGGAGAAGACCAAGAAATCAGCAGACTGACTACAATGCAACAATCAGCTGGGAGAAGCCTCTGCTGTTTGAACACAGATGCATTTCTCATTATACTGTCATCAGATGTGAAAAATGATGTTGGGAGCCCAGGTGTCTCTCTTGCTTGAACTCTCTCACCATTCAGACACAGTATGAAAACATGAGCCGGTATCTTTGGTCTCCCTAGCTGTGTTTCTGAATATAGATTGATAATACCACCTGTGCTTTGCACTGGCCTCAGTGCTATTTCTGTACTTTAGAGTCTCCCCCTCAGCTATTTTAGCAGACTCAAGGCTATGCCACCTGTCTGGAGCCCAGCAGAGCACCACTGGAGGCCAGGCACCAGCACTCCTTTGTCTGGTGTGTTTATATGTACAGTGGGAGTTTGAATTTAGATGCCACAAGGAATGCTGTGATCCAAAACATAGCCCCTGAACAAACCTCATGCATTTTCAAGTTAAAATGTTCACTAAAAAATGAGCTTTCACAATTGCTCATTGGTCTGGAGTAGTTAAATTCTGCTGAAGTCCCACTTTAGACATCAAAGTGGGTTCTTTGGGTGCTTCCAACTAGACCATTTTTTCTATATATAGTGTTAATAAGCGGACAGCATGCAAGTCCTTCTAATTAAAACACATGCAGATATATCAACCAGTATTAAGCACACTAAGCAACTGATTAGATACTAACCACACCCCAACCCTCAGGCTAAAAACACAGAAACAAAAAGTCAAACTTTACTCTGAACTCCATCCTCTGGTTAAAACTTTGGCCTGGGGCCATTGTAACACTGTAAAAAAGCCAGGTAAATTTGCTGTGGGTAAAATAAGATTATGACTCTCCCACTCAGCAAAAAGGGAGCACTTAAGAAGCCTTACCTAATGAGGGATAGCCTTCTCTCTGCTTCGACACTGTGGCAAATAAAGTTACTCTTCTGGCAACCAAAGCTTAAAAATGGTCCAGTATGACTACTTCTGCTACAAAAAAATCTGATTTCAAAACCAGCTAATAAACAGTAACTAATCTCTGTGGTCTTAAAACACCATCTACAATAATACGTTCTATTATCTCACTACAAATATTCTAGTAACTAGTTTTTATCTGCCCAACCTAACAATCTTCATCTAACCTTAGGCTAAATTTGTTTCTGGCTAGCTTGAATGCACATAGTAGCAGAACCAGCCAGCAGCTCCACCAGCTTTCACCCCTGATGTACTTCACAACGGCACTCGCATTCCTCTGCACCCTTCACTTCTATAGACTATGTATTTGCTGGGCTACTCGCCTCTTACTACTCCCACCTGGCTTGCCCAGGAGTAAGCAGAATGTGTTGACATAAAACAATTACTAATAGCTTCATGATACTATAATCTGAAATACAAATTGTAAAGTCAGAAGGATAAATTGAAAGGTA